CTCCAGCCAACCCAGTGTGCTTAAAATTAAACTAGCCCAAGTGTGCCTCCACCCAAGCCCTGTTTGGTGATCTCTTCACACGGACACACATTGAAACCACTTCTTCTTCTACTTACAAAATACAAAAAATTAGCTTGGGCATGGGTGGGCTCAGCCCGCTCGCAGCCGCGCGCGGTTGCCACTCCGCACTGTACTTCTTCAGTACTCAGGAGGCTGAGACAGTGAGAGTTTGCTTGAAACCCCCCGGAAGGCAGGACTGGGTTGCAGTGCAGCCAAGATCGTGCCCCACCTGCCACTCCAGACATTGGGCAAACCACAGCAAGATACCTGTCTTTAAAAAAAAAAACGGCCACGCAAGGACCCATGGCAGCAAAGCATCCCAAACCAGTAAAGGGGCAGCTCCTCTAGAGATTAGGCATGTGGAATTATGAGAGAAAAAAGATATTCCCTTAAAATGATCTTCAGTGTGATAATTAGGCTTCATTAAGGCTCGATTACATATGGATATCCCATATCAAGCATGTGCTACTTAAAATTATGGGGGAGTGGAGGCAAATTTCAAGAACACAAGGGCCAAGCTAACCAAGCAACACCTATCAATCAAAAGTCGCAAACACTGGCTTAAAGATTAGACATCTGGCCTGGCGCCCGGGTGGGCTCACGCCGTGTAATTCCCCAGCTTCTTTTTGGGCGAGGCCGAGCGGGTGGGTGGATTCACAAGGTCCAGGAGGAGTCCAGACCATTTTCTGCGACGCCCTTAAACAAGGCTGAAACCCCGTCTCTTACAAAAACACAAAAAAATTTAGCCGAGCATTTGTAGCAGGAGCTGTTAGTTTCCCAGTCTACGTTCGGGTTAGGCTTGAAGCAGAGAATGGCTCGAGGGAACCTGGGAGGCGAAGTTTGCACGAGTTCCACCTGCACCAGGCCTGGGCCGACAGAGCGGAGACTCACGTTCTTCAAAAAAAAAAAAAAAAAAAGAATTAGGCTTTTTTTCACTAAGGGGTTAACAAAAAAGGTCCCCTCCCGGGGAGCAGGGCACTCACCAGGCCGCCCGACTAGGACTTGCCGAATGAATCCATCGTCGCCTTTAGTTTTTAGTCCTTTGAAGAACCTTCAGAATGGAAATCATGAGAGATTTTTCCATGGAGAAGTTCTTTTTACAAAGCATTTATTTAGTTGACTTCTCAGCACCCCGCAGGGCTGCAAGGGGCAGGGCCTCCAGTGCACTTTCTGCGCAGTGGAGCCGCGGGGACTCAGCTGGGCGGTGGTCGGGTCTTGAGGCCTGAGGGCGGGAGCGGGGGAAGGGAAAAGCAAAAGCAAAAAAAGAAGCCGGGGAGCGGTGGACTGTGGGGAAAAGAAAGAAATATCAGGCTGTTACTATGTCTATATAGAAAGAAGTAGACATAAGAGACTCCATTTTGTTCTGTATTTGAGATGCTGTTAATTTGTGACCCTACCCCCAACCTTGTCCTTGCAAGAGACATGTGCTGTGGTGACTCAAGGCTGAATGGATTTTGGGCTGTGCAGGATGTGCTTTGTTAAACAAGTGCCTGAAGGCAGCTTTCTGGTTAAAGGTCATCACCATTCTCTTAATCTCAAGTACCCAGGGACACGTACACGGTCAAAGGTCGCAGGGACCTCTGCCTAGGAAAGCTAGGTATTGTCAAAGGTTTCTCCCCATGTGATAGTCTGAAATAGGGCCTGTGGGAAGAGAAGGACCTGACCCTCCCCCAGCCCGCCCCAGTGAAGGGTCTGTGCTGAGGAGGACTAGTACAAGAGGAAAGAAGGCCTTTTGGCGGATGTTGGCAGTTAAGATAGAGAAAAGCATCTGTCTCCTGCCCATCCCTGGGCAATGGAACATCTCAGTGTGAGACCCGATTGTATGCTCTGTTTACTGAGATAGGAGAAAACCGCCTTAGGGCAAAAGGTGGGACTTGCTGGAGCAATGCTGCTAAAAGGTTTATGGAGATGTATGCCTATGCATATCAAGGCACAGCATTTTCCTTTGAACTTATTCATGTCACAGAGATCTTTATCCATATGTCTTACTGCTGATTTTCTCCCTACAATGATCCTATTGTCCAGCCACTCCCTTATCTTTAAGATGGTAAAGAAAATTATCAACAAATACTGAGGGAACTCAGAGACCGGTGCCGGCGTGGGTCCTCTGTAAGCTGAGCGCGGGTTCCCTGGGCCCACTTTCTCTTTCTCTATACTTTGTCTCTGTGTCTCACTTCTTTTCTCAAGTGTCTCGTTCCACCTAACGAGAAACGCCCACAGGTATGGAGGGGTAGGCCACCCCTTCAGTGGACCAGACATCCAGACCCCCTGAAAGGCTCGTGCGGAGGCACAGGCGGGATCTTCCGGAGGTAAGAATTGTTTTTTTATTGTAGCAGAATGGGGAGGAATTAAGGGGAAATGGAGATAGAACCTGAAAGATCCCCCAAACACGAGAACCTGTAGCTCCCCAAGCATAAGATGTCGCAGAACTAGACCAAAAACTAGGCTCCTGGGAACCCTAAAATCCTTGGAGGATCATGACCCTCTGTGTTCCTTTGGGCAAAGGACTTGCTTCCATTGTTTGTTCAATTGTTGGTGTTTGTTGAATAAATAAGACTGTTTTCATGTGTCTTTGAAATTACTTTGGCTCTATTATTTTATGGTTACAAATAATGCTGCAGTGATCATTCTTGTACACTTCTCATTGGCCATTTGTGTATTTCTATAGGATAGAGGCCTGGAGAGCAGTTGTTCCAGCATAGTGATTACAGTTTTTGTTTATTTATTTATTTATTTTTGAGACAGTCTCGCTCTGTCACCCAGGCTATAGTGCTGTGGCACGATCTCACCTCACTGCAACCTCCGCCTCCCGGGTTCAAGCGAATCTCCTGCTTCAGCCTCCCAAGTAACTGGGATTACAGGCCCTTGCCACCACACCCAGCTAATTTTTGTATTTTTAGTAGAGACGGGGGTTCCACCGTTTTGGCCAAGCTGGTCTCAAACTCCTGACCTCAAGTGATCTGCCTGCCTTGGCCTCTCAAAGTGCTGGGATTACAGGTGTGAGCCACCACACCCAGCGATTGCATGGTTTTTTAATATCATTCTATTTTCTTTCCTTATTTGGCTTCTTAGGTGTAACTCTTTCTTTTGTTATGTCAGTGATGGGTTTAGGGTTTCTAGAATACATCTTTATCCGTCTGCCATCAAGTGACATTATACCTCCCCTTCTGGCCTTCATGCTAGTGTTGCCATGTAATTTGATTTTGGACATGTTATAAACCCCAACATCCAAGTACGTACATAGCAATTTTCAGTCGTCTCCATTTCTTTGTGTAGGTTCAGATTTCTGTCTAGTATCCTTATCCTTACGACTGGAGGGACTCCTTTAACATTTCTTGTAGTGTGGTTCGGTGAATTCTGTCATTTTTTGTATGTCTTTAAATGTTCTGATTTCAGTCACAATTTTGAAAGATATTTCAATTTGGCATAGAATTCTAGAATAACTTTTTTTCTCTCAGTACTTTAGGATTTTGCCACTTTGACGCTTTGTCATTGATATATCTTTACTGTTTTTGTAAAACTGGCATAAAGTGGGCTTCCTGTACTTGTTATGTAGTTTTTGGATTGTGTATTTAAATTAAAAATATTAAACTAAAATGGCCTGGGCGAGGTGGTTCACGCCTGTAATCTCAGCACTTTGGGAAGGGGAGGCAGAGGATCACTGGAGACCCAGAGTTGGAGACCACCCTGGACAAGATAGGAAGACCGTGTGTGTGTGTGTGTGTGTGTATTATATGTATGTATGTATATATAAGTCCTACATTCACCTTAAGTTCCACCAACAGTGCGCTTAAAGTAAAATGTGCCCAACCTGAGGCCCAAACCTACATGCTGAAGCGCAGTTTGTGTTTGTGAGACAATCTCAACAGCATTTGCTTTTCACAGCATAGTGTTTTTCCTGTTTTCCTCACACGTGAATGTCTTCAGTGCAAAACCTGTCAGAATTCATTTTCTTTTGCTAAAAAATTTTAAAATACTCTTACTTCAAGTGTGGGGAAAAGAAAGAGATCAGACGGTTACTGTGTCTATGCAGAAAGAAGTAGACATAAGAGACTCCATTTTGTTCTGTACTAAGAAAAATTATTCTGCCTTAAGATGCTGCTAATCTGTAACCCTACCCCCAACCCTGTGCTTGCAGAGACAAGGACTGTGCTGTGTTTACTCAAGGTTTAATGGATTTGGGGCTATGCAGGAAGTGCTTTGTTACACAAGTGCCTGAAGGCAGTATGCTTGTTAAAAGTCATCACCATTCTCTTAATCTCAAGTACCCAGGGACACAAACACTGCGGAAAGCCAGCAGGGACCTCTGCCTAGGAATGCTAGGTATTGTTCAAAGTTTCTCCCCATGTGATAGTCTGAAATATGGCCTTGTGGGAAGGGAAAGACCTGATGGTTCCCCAGCCGGACACCGGTAAAGGGTCTGTGCTGAGGAGGATTAGTAAAAGAGGAAGGCCTCTTGGCAATTGAGATAGAGGAAGGCATCTGTCTCCTGCTCGTCCCTGGGCAATGGAATGTCTCAGTGTAAAACCCAATTGTATGTTCTATTTACTGAGCTAGGAGAGAACAGCCTTAGGGCTGAAGGTGGGACGTGCTAGAGGCAATCCTGCTCTTTATGCACTGAAAATGTTTATGAAGATGTTTGCATATATGCATGTCAAAGCACAGCACTTTTCCTTAAACGTATTCATGTCACAGGGATCTTTATTCATGTGTCTTTCTGCTGACCTTCTCCCTACTATGACTTTATTGTCCTGCCACTTCCCCTTTTCCAGATGGAAAAGATAATGATCAATAGACACTGAAGGAATTCAGAGACCGGTGCCGGTGCCAGCCCTCTGTATGCTGAGCGCGTGTCCGCTGGGCCCACTTTTTCTTTCTCTATACGTTGTCTCTGTGTCTCATTTCTTTTCTCAAGTCTCTTGTTCCACCTGACAAGAAACGCCCGCAGGTGTGGAGAGGCAGGCCACCCCTTCATCTGGTGCCAAACGTGGGTGCTTTTCTCTAGGGTGAAGGTAACACTCCAGCGTGGTCATTGAGGACAAGTCGACGAGAGACTCCCGAGTACGTCTACAGTCAGCCTTGCGGTAAGCTTCTGCGCTCGGAAGAACCCAGGGTAACAATGGGGCAAACTAAAAGTAAATATGCCTCTTATCGCAGCTTTATTAAAATTATTTTAAAAAGAGGGGGAGTTAGAGTCTCTACAAAAAATCTAAGTACGCTGTTTCAAACAATAGAACAATTTTGCCCATGGTTTCCAGAACAGGGAACCTTAGATCTAAAAGACTGGGAAAAAATTGGCAAAGAATTAAAACAAGCCAGTAGGGAAGGTAAAATCATCCCACTTACAGTATGGAACGATTGGGTCATTATTAAAGTAGCTTTAGAACCGTTTCAAACAGAAGAAGATAGCGTTTCAGTTTCTGATGTCCCTGAAAGCTGTGTAATAGATTGTGAAAAAGAGGCAGGGATAGAATCCCAGAAAGGAATGGAAAGTTCACATTGTAAATATGTAGCAGAGCCAGTAATGGCTCGGTCGACACAAAATGTTAACAATAATCAATTACAGGAGGTGATATATCCAGAAACATTAAAATTAGAAGAAAAAGGTCCAGAATTAGCAGAGCCATCAGAGTCTAAGACACGATATCAGCTGGTAGAAAATAAGACCCAGCCGCCAGTAGCCTATCAATACTGGCCGCCAGCCGGACTTCAGTATCCGCCACCCCCAGAAAGTCAGTATGGACAGCCAGAAATGTTTCCAGCGCCACAGGGCAGGGCGTTGTATCCTCAGCCGCCCACTATGAGACTTAATCCTACAGCACCACCTATTGGACAGGGTGGTGCATTACATAAAATTATTGATAAGGCAAGAAAACAAGGAGATATTCAGGCGTGGCCAGTCCCAGTAATATTAGAATCAAGACCACCTGGAGAAGGGGCCCAAGAGGGAGAGCCTCCCACAGCTGAGACCAGATATGAGTCCTTTTCTATAAAAATGCTAAAAGATATCAAAGAGGGAGTAAAACAGTACGGACCCAACTCTCCTTACGTGAGAACATTATTAGATTCCATTGCTCATGGACATAGACTCATTCCTTATGATTGGGAGATTCTGGCAAAATCCTCACTCTCACCCTCTCAATTTTTACAATTTAAGACTTGGTGGATTGATGGGGCACAAGAACAGGTCCGAAGAAATAGGACTGCCAGTCCTCCAGTTAACATAGACGTAGATCAACTATTAGGAACAGGTCAAAATTGGAGCACTGCTAGTCAACAAGTAATATTGCAAAATGAGACCATTGAGCAAATTAGGGCTGTCTGCCTTAGGGCCTGGGAGAAAATCCAAGACCCAGGAACCGCCTGCCCCTCATTCAATACAATAAGACAAGGCTCTAAAGAGCCCTACCCTGATTTTGTGGCAAGGCTTCAAGATGCTGCTCAAAAGTCAATTACCGATGAGAATGCCCGTAAGGTCATAGTGGAGTTGATGGCATATGAAAACGCCAATCCTGATTGTCAATCAGCCATTAAGCCATTAAAAGGAAGGGTTCCCGCAGGATCAGATGTAATCTCAGAGTACATAAAAGCCTGTGATGGAATTGGAGGAGCTATGCATAAAGCTATGCTTATGGCTCAAGCAATCACAGGAGTTGCTTTAGGAGGACAAGTTAGAACATTTTGGGGAAAATGTTATGATTGTGGTCAAATTGGTCATCTAAAAAAGAATTGCCGAGTCTCAAATAAACAAAATATAACTACTCAAGCTACAACAACAACAGGTAAAGAGCCACCTGGCCTATGTCCAAGATGTAAAAAGGGAAAACATTGGGCTAATCAATGTCGCTCTAAATTTGATAAAAATGGGCAACCACTGTCGGGAAACGAGAGGAGGGGCCAGCCTCAGGCCCCGCAACAAACTGGGGCATTCCCAGTTCAGCCCCTTTTTCCTCTGGGTTTTCAGGGACAACAACCCCTACTGTCACAAGTGCCTCAGGGAATAAGCCATTTACCACAATACAGCAATTGTCCCCTCTCACAAGTGGCAGTGCAGCAGTAGATTTATGCACCATACAAGCAGTCTCTCTGCTTCCAGGGGAGCCCCCACAAAAAATCCCCACAGGGGTATATGGCCCATTGCCTGAGGGGACTGTAGGACTAATCTCAGGAAGATCAAGTTTAAATCTAAAAGGAGTTCAAATTCATACTGGTGTGGCTGATTCAGACTATAAAGGCGAAATTCAATTGGTTATTACTTCCTCAATTCCTTGGAGTGCCAGTCCAGGAGACAGGATTGCTCAACTATTACTCCTGCCTTATATTAAAGTTGGAAACAGTGAGATAAAAAGAACAGGAGGGTTTGGAACCACTGATCCGGCAGGAAATGCTGCATATTGGGCAAGTTAGGTCTCTTGAGAGCAGACCTGTGTGTAAGGCCATTATTCAAGGAAAACAGTTTGAAGGGTTGGTAGACACTGGAGCAGATGTCTCTGTCATTGCTTTAAATCAGTGGCCAAAAACTTGGCCTAAACAAAAGGCTGTTACAGGACTTGTCGGCGTAGGCACAGCTTCAGAAGTGTATCAAAGTACTATGATTTTACATTGTTTAGGGCTAGATAATCAAGAAAGTACTGTTCAGCCAATGATTACTTTAATTCCTGTTAATCTATGGGGTCAAGATTTGTTACAACAAAGGGGGTGAAAAATCATTATGCCCGTTCCATTATACAGCCCCATAAGTCAAAAAATCATGACTAAGATGGGATATATACCAGGAAAAGGACTAGAAAAAAATGAAAATGACATTAAAGTCCCAATTGAGACTGAGGGAAATCAAGAAAGAAAAGGAATAGGGTATCCTTTTTAGGGGCAGCCACTGTAGAGCCTCCTAAACCCATTCCATTAACTTGGAGAACAGAAAAACCAGTATGGGTAAATCAGTGGCCGCTACCAAAACAAAACTGGAGGCTTTACATTTATTAGCAAAGGAACAATTACAAAAGGGACACATTGAGCTTTCATTCTCGCCTTGGAATTCTCCTGTGTTTGTAATTCAGAAAAAATCCAGCAGATGGCGGATGTTAACTGACTTAAGAGCTGTAAATGCTGTAGTTCAACTCGTGGGGCCTCTTCAACCCGGATTGCCCTCCCCAGCCATGATTCCAAAAGACTAGTCTTTAATTATAATTGATCTGAAGGATTGCTTTTTTACCATTCCTCTGACAGAGCAGAATTGTGAAAAATTTGCCTTTGCTATAGAGCCATAAATAATAAAGAACTAGCCACCAGGTTTCAGTGGAAAGTGTTACCTCAGGGAATGCTTCATAGTCCAACTATTTGTCAGACTTCCCTAGGTCAAGCTCTTCAACCAGTTAGAGACAAATGTTCAGATTGTTACATCATTCACTATATTGATGATATTTTATGTGCTGCAGAAACAAGAGACAAATTAAATTGACTGTTACACATTTCTGCAAGCAGAGGTTGCCAACGCAGGACTGACAAGAGCATCTGATAAGATTCAAACCTCTACTCCTTTTCATTATTTAGGGATGCAGATAGAAAGTAGAAAAATTAAGCCACAAAAAATAGAAATAAGAAAAGACACATTAAAAGCATTAAATGACTTTCAAAAATTGCTAGGCGATATTAATTGGATTCAGCCAACTCTAGGCATTCCTACTTATGCCATGTCAAATTTGTTCTCTATCTTAAGAGGAGACCCAGACTTAAATAATAAAAGAATATTAACCCCGGAGGCACAAAAGAAATTAAATTAGTAGAAGAAAAAATTCAGTCAGCACAAATAAATAGAATAGATCCCTTAGCTCCACCCCAACTTTTGATTTTTGCTACTGTACATTCTCCAACAGGCAGTATCGTTCAAAATACTGATCTTGTGGAGTGGTCGTTCCTTCCTCACAGTACAGTTAAGACTTTTACATTGTACTTGGATCAAATAGCTACATTAATTGGTCAGGCAAGATTACGAATAATAAAATTGTGTGGAAATGACCCAGACAAAATAGTTGTTCCTTTAACCAAGAAACAAGCTAGACAAGCCTTTATCAATTCTGGTGCATGGCAGATTGG